GGAGCGGCCACTGCACTCCAGTCTGGGCGACAGAGTGAGACTCCGACTCAAAAAGAAAAAGAAAAAGAAAGAGGTTCAGGCACTTGCCGAGGCCTTCCACACACCCTGAGTCAATCCCTACATTCATCCCCGTGCTGAATCCTCCACACCACTAACCCCCACTGTACAGCCGAGGTCATTGAGGCTTGGTGAGCTCCCAGACCTCTGTCAATCCTGGCCATCGCTGTTCATCCCAGAATTCTTCCTCCCTCCCCCAGAAGGAACACCAGGGACAGGGCGTGGAAGGGAAGATCAGGCCAAGTTCTACCAGGGGCAGAGGTGGGGCAGCCAGGCTCACCCCACCCACACTCCTTCCCCTTGCAGAAAGAACACGCCCGGAAGAACCTCCCAGCCCAGGAAGGACCTTTAACAGAACACTTATGCTGGACCTGTCACATGCTCAACAGTCCTGCCACACCGGGATGGGCCATCGCTCTTGGCAGATGTGACATGGAGTCTCAGAGAGGCTGAGCTGCATGCTCAGGGGCACACAGAAAGCAGAGCTAGGGTTGGAACCCGGGTCTGTCTGACTCCAAAGCTCCATTCATACACACTCCCCTAGGATGCTGGAACAAGGACAGAGGCCCGGCTATGTCCACCTGGCCCATCACTATGCACATAGCCAGCCCTCTCCGTTATCCCAAGAAGCAGCGTGTCCCCCTAAGGACCCTTTTAGGCACTACCTAGAGGAAAGTCAGCCTTTGGATGGGCTGAACCTGAACAGACGTAGAAGAGGACAAGCCCAGGAGGAAGAGGATGAAGGAGAGGCTGAGCACAGGTCTGAGGGTCAGGCTGGCCTGGGTGTGTGTCGAGACGCCCGCCCTTCGTAGCTGGGGAGTCAGCTGGCCTCTTGAGCTGCCTGTAAAATGGGGATAATCCTCTCTACCTCTGCTGAGGATTCAGTGAGGCAGTGTGCCAAAGCGCCCTGCCCCGGAAAGTGCCCCCAGGGGGAAACTACCAGCACTAGAGCATGGGGGAGTGGGAGGTCACCTGCAAAAGGGAAGTTCAAGGGTGAGCTGAAGACAGACAGCAATGGGTGAGGAGAGCAAAGGTCTGTGGCCACACCCAGAGGCCAGCTTGGCTCTAACCTAGACCCTCTCAGGCAGTCCCTTTGGCTGGACCTTAAAGGCCTGGTCAGAATTCAAGCCCAGCCCCTGGGGAAAAGACCATAGCTCCTTCCTCAGATAGCCCCAGAAGCGCAGAGGGTCAGAGGTCTCCAGGCACAATCCCATCATGGGAAGCAAGGTGAGGAAACTGGGGCTCAGAGAAGGGAAAATGACTTGCCCAAGGACACATGGCGAGGAACCAGATCTCTCCAAAACCCTAAGTTACACGGTGGGGGTAGGAGTGAATGTAAGGCGCTGAGCCTGGCTTTCAGCTCCCAGCTCAGCCACTCGGATGCTGGGCAGCCTGGGATTCGCCACCTTGCCTCTCTGAGCCTTCATGTCCTCGTCTGACTTGACTTGTAGGGTTGTTCTTTAAAATGTTTTTCTTTCCTGGTTCTCGGAGGAAATTTGGAAAATAGAGACAAAAGGAAAAGAGACCCGTGCAGAATCCCGTTTCACAGGTTCCTGCAGGGATGAAGCAGAATAGTACTGTGTGCCTGGTCAGCGCCAGGGTTCAGCAAAGGAACATTCTTGAGCCTTCTCCAGAGTGTGGAGAAAGAGCACTGGACAGGGAGCCAGGAGACCTGGGTTCTGTCATCGAACTTGGTGGCCATCCCCGGACAGTGCCTGAGGTCCCATTTTTTTGAGTTGGAGTTTCACTCTGTCGCCCAGACTGGAGTGCAGTGGCCGCTCCCGGCTACCGCAACCTCGACCTGCCGGGCTCCAGCGATCCTTCCGCCTCAGCCTTCCAAGTAGCTGGAACTACAGGCACTTGCTACCATGCCCGGCTAATTGTTTATTTTATTTTAGAGACGAGGTCTCACCAAGTTGCCCAGGTGGGTCTTGAACCCGCAGGCTCAGGCAATCCACTCGCCTCGGCCTCCCAAAGTGCTGGGATTACAGGCTGAGCCACCGAGCCCAGCCCTGAGGTCCCTTTAAACAGCAGCTCCCCAACAAATCCTGCTCACACCGCACTTTGCAGCCTGGCCACAAAGCAAGTGGCCACACCCAGGGTTGGGTTTGGAGATGTTCCAGGTCACACCCTTGTAAAATGAGTAAGCAGAGGGCAGGCCTGCCCACAGGGCTGGGCCCCGGGCATCTGGACACTGACAGGAAAGGAGGTGCTGGGCCTGGCAGACCTTCAGGGAGGTCTGGTGCAAGGAGACCCCACTTCGTGGCTTGTGACTTGGGCAAGTGACTTCACTTCCTTTGCTCAGTTTCCTCATCTGCAAGGTGCCTCATCTTGGGCAGCTTGGCCAAGATAATGGACGTGAAGAGTGACAAGCAGTGCCTGGCACACGCGAGGCGTTCAGTAAGACAGCCATTCTTGCTAAGACCACTGAGCCCCTCCAGGAGGGAGGTCTAAACAGATGCACTCAGGCTCCTCTGGGAGAGTTCAAAGCAGTTGAAAACCACAGCTGTTACTGAAACTTCCAGGCTGAAAGCAACTAGCCAGAGGAAAAACTGGGCCTGCCACCAAGCCCCCTTCCCTGGGGGCACCCTGCCCCTAAGTCAGGCTGTACTGGGGTCAGTCAAGGGTGCATAGAGAAGATACTAATGGTCACCCTGCCTCGTGGGACAGGCCACTCCACCCCATCTCCCTGTCTGGCCTTAGGTCACATCCCTTTTTTGGTCCTCAGAATCCCCCATAACAAACAGCTATCAATGCTGTCTACTTCACAAACTACAAAAATGTCTTAGGCTATAAAATGTGGAGTATAAGATGCCCGGTCCCAGTTACACTTGGTTGCTTGATCTGCAAATCGGGATAATAGCACTGGACAGGGAGCCAGGAGACCTGGGTTCTATCATCGAACTTGGTGGCCATCCCTGGTGCCTGCTGCCCTCCTAGTTGGAAACTGTGCAGAAGGGTCTCCGGATAGGGTGGAGCTTTGAACATGGGCAAAGCCTGCTTCCGATGGCAGGCAGTGAGGGCTGCCTGCATCCAGCAACAGCTGGGGAGCCATGCCTGCTGACTGGCACAGGTCTGACCGGATGCCTCCGGGGCAGTGGAGGGTGGCCTTAACCCTGTCTCCAAACTTACCACACTCACAACTAAGCAAACCTACAACAGCCTCATCTCCCCTCTCTGGAGTCTGCTTCCAAAAACCAGGACCTAGAGCTAAAAGTGACTGAAATGAGCTAGCCTCACAGCCATCTCGTGCACACATGAATTTTCAAGAAGGGGAGGCCGGGTGTGATGGCTCAAGCCTGTAATCCCAGCACTTTGGGAGGCCGAGGCAAGAGGACTGCCTGAGCCCAGGGGTTTCAGACCAGCCTGGGCAACTTGGTTGAGACTTCATTTCTACAATAAATCAAGAAAAATTAGCTGGGCATGGTGGCTTATGCCTGTAGTTCCAGCTACCTGGAAGGCTGAGGCAGAAGAATCACCAGAGTCCAGGATTTCGAGGCTGTGGTGACCGTGAGCATGCCACTGCACTCCAGCCTGGGTAACAGAGTGAGACTATGATTCAAAAAAAAAAGGGGGGGAAACTGAGGCCCCAACTGAGGCCAAGACTTGGACACACAGGGAATTACTGGCAGGGTCAGGACCAGAAACCAGGCTCCCAACCACCCCCATTCCCCCAGGGCTTTTCCCACTCCACCCCCACCTTAAGGTTGTTTCGATTTACCTGGGCTCCAGAAATTCCACTCCCACAAAACACACCCTGTGCCAAGGTCAGCAGGCAACCTGGTGCCACCACTTTGGGCTGTCTCTGGCAACAAGCTTTGGGTCTTGAGGAGAAACGAGTTGATCTGAACAGAACTCCAGGGGGCCTGCCAGCATTTGTATCCCCTACTGGGCTTGGGGCAAGACCTAGAACAGACCCTTGGGAAGGATTTGGCTGGATGGACAATTTGAACAATTTGTCCAAACCGAACCGGACCTGAGAGACCCAGTAAACCTATCCTCTGTCTTAAAGTCCCACGGTATCCCCAGGCCAAGTCCTTTGCCTGGATGATAGCAGGTGCCCAGGACTTGCTCGTGGGCCAAACCATGAAGTAATGAATGAATGGCCACAGTGCTGGCTGCATGGACTTCCCCAGAGTCACAAAGACACTGGGGATAGTGAGTCGGGTCCCAGACTTCCAATCCCGTGCTCATTTCACTCCACTACAGTGAATGAGATGGCTTTACCCGACGTCGGCAAACGAAGGCGGCTTCTACTCAGCACACCGAGAGCAATGGCTGGTCCTGGAAACTGGAAGCACATCTGCCCCCTCCCCGAAACTCAGCCTGCTCCACCCAAACCGGGCTCAGGAGCCCTCCCTCCTTGCCCACACCTGGAAAAGCAGAGGGGTCCCCAGCATTACCGGCAGCCGGCCGGCCGGCACGCACCGCACCGCTTGGCCCTCGGGTCCGTGGGGCGTGGCGTCGAGGCAGGTGCCCGGCGCCGCTGCGGGAGGCGCCGTCTGCGGGTACAGTGTGGCGTAGAAGGTTGCAGTGGCCGGGCAGAGCCGGGGGCTGCTGAGGCCGGATGGCCACAGCTCGGCGGGGCCCGTCGCGGACACGCCTTTCGGGGGCTG